GAATTGATCCCTCTTATTCACTGCTTTATATGCAGCGCCACGCAAAATGCCTGGGACATACTAAGTGCTCAATGCTTTTTTTTTTTTTTTTTTTGATAAAGGGTCTCACTCTGTTGCCCAGGCTGGAATGCAGTGATGCTACCTCGGCTCACTGCAACCTCCACCTCCCAGGTTCAAGCAATTCTCCTGCCTTAACCTCCCTAGTAGCTGGGATTACAGGTGCCCACCACCGTGCCTGGCTAATTTTTGTATTTTTAGTAGAGACGGGGTTTCGCCATGTTGGCCAGGCTGGCCTTGAAATCCTGACCTCAACCCATCTGCCCGCCTCGGCCCCCCAAAGTACTGGGATTACAGGCGTGAGCCACCGCACCCGGACTCAATACATATTTTTTGAATGGAAAAATGATTACAGTAGCAAAGGAGAGAAGGACAGTTCCTGTTGTTGACCTTTGTTAAGCAATTCTTGTTAACAAGATGTTAAAAAGGATTCATTTGAACTCCACCTGGTCCCAATGCTGATAAAGACAAGGTGTAGCTATATGCAGAACCAGACCTAAGTCAGTTTCTCCATCACTAGTGCATGGCCCACTGACGTGTAGGCTATAATGCAAGAAAGAGCTAAGAGTACTGGAGCAGTTTCCAGCTAGGGGCAAGGACATTTTGGGAACGCTTATTTGAAGACAATGATTTGAAAAGAATAAAGCTATCGTATAATTTTGCCTCTTTGTCTCTTCCCACAGTCAGAGTTATTGAGAAACTAAAGTTTTAGCTCCAGAACCTCTTCTCAGGCCCTGGAAGAAGACCTAGCAATGTGTTCCCAGGTCATATGTTTTGCAAATTTTGAAAAGTATGTTTTTAAATTGTCTGTCTTTCTTTTTTCTTTTCTTTTTTTTTTTTTTTAGACAGATCTCACTCTGTCACCCAAGCTGGAGTGCAGGGGCGCGATCTCAGCTCACTACAGCCTCCACCTCCCTAGTAGCTGGAACTGCAGGCATACGCAGCTAATTTTTGTATTTTTAGTAGAGATGAGGTTTCATCATGTTGGTCAGTTTGGTTTCAAACTCCTAACCTCAGGTGATCCACCCACCTCGGCCTCCCAAAGTGCTGGGATTACAGGCATGAGCCACCGCACCCGGCCTACAATTCTTTTTCTTAAAGAGAGCCCCCCAAAACTGTATAAGTTTCAAGCCCCAAAACCTGGATCCATCTCGGCCCCTCCCAAGTTCAAGCTGCTTAAGTAACCAGTGATCCATGTTTAGCTCATTAACCCTTGCAACAATTCCATAATATAAATACTATTGTCATTCCAATTTACAGATGAGGAAACTGAGGCTTGGAGAATAGTCATTGCCCAAGTTCTCACAGTTAGTAAGTGGTAGAGCTGGGATTTAAATTCAGTAGCCTGTCTCCAGAGACCAGACCCTTAGTGCTTGATAACGGTGTCTATTTGTTTTCTTGTCCATTTTCCCACTAACTAGGAAGTCCCCAAGGACACAAAGGCAAATCATTTCTTTTTCTTTTTCTTTTTCTTTTTTTCTGAGTTGGAGTCCCATTCTGTCGCCAGGCTGGAGTGCACTGGCGAGATTTCGGCTCACTGCAATCTCTGCCTCCTGGGTTCAAGCGATTCTCCTGCCTTGGCCTCCTGAGTAGCTGAGATTACAGGTGCGTGCCACCACACCGAGCTAATTTTTGTATTTTTAGTAGAGATGGGGTTTCACCATGTTGTCCAGGATGGTCTCAATCTCCTGACCTCGTGATCTGCCCTCCTCGGCCTCCCAAAGTGCTGGGGTTACAGGCGTGAGCCACCGTACCCGACCAAGACAAATCGTTTCTACATGCCAAGCATGCAGCCCAGAAGAGACGTCACCATATGTTGGGATGTAAGAAAGAGGAAAGCAGCCCGCAAAGTCCAGGGGCCAGCCTAACACTCACAGCCAGGCCTTGGCCTTGTCCTGTTGAACATAAACAACTTCACAGACCATCAACAGCAGACAAGGCCACTCTGTGACTGTGATGGATCAAAACACAAACAGTCATCATGTCTGAACACAAACAAAAAATGGATATGTCCAAACCACAAAAAAGACCAACCATCCCCCTGTCTCTGCTAAAATGAGAGACTGCTGCTTCTTACCTATGACAGCTTCAGCCTTGGTCTAGCCTCCCCTCCTTCTAGATACATTTTATCCAGACCCCCAGTCATAGAATTACCCTTGCTCTTAACAGCATCCAATCCAAAGCCAAGCCCCACTTCCTTAAACTCTCCCCAGATTATCTAACAAAAGCCCAAATTCTGTAAGTTATTTCTTCCATCCTCCTACTGAGATGCACCCCCGTACCCGTATTTCCCCACTGCCTGCATTCTCCCTTGCTGCAATGAGTAATTAATACAACTTGTTTAATTACAGGTGTGTTTCCAGGGGTCTTTGACTGGAATGGCATCGACACAAGTATCACCTATCAGTGAGCATAAAATGTTATTGTCAAAGTTAAAAAATGTTGCTTCTCAAAACTAGTTGATGATAAGAGAAGGAAAGTAGTTGTTCCTTCTGGAGGATGGGTGGGGGTGATTGATTACAAACCGAGAAGCCAACCTTTTAGGATATTGGAAATGTTCTACATTTTGAAGTAAATGGTAGTTATAGCAAATGTTTTTAAGAAATTAAACTGTATATGTAAGATTAGTGCACATTACATACTCTACTGTATACCTATTCTACTTTTATTTTAGAAGTTTTGTCCACTGGCGGCGCGTGGTGGCTCACATCTGTAATCCCAGCACTTTTGGAAGGCCAAGGTAGGCAGATCACTTGAGATCAGGAGTTCAAGATCAGCCTGACCAACATGGTGAAAACCCGTCTCTACTCAAAATACAAAAATTAGTGGTCATGTGCCTGTAATCCCAGCTACTAGGGAGGCTGAGATAGGAGAACTGCTTGAACCCAGGAGGCAGAGGCTGCGGTGAGCCGTGATCCCACCACTGGACCACAGAGCGAGACTCTGTCCCTGCTCCCCCGCCAAAAAAAAAATAGGAAATCCAAAGTTGGTCACCCAAATACCAACTTGAAGCAATTTACCAGCAAAGTAAAGGCCAGAGTTGGGATGGTAGCTGACAGCAGATTTGAAGAGAACTTTGGGCTATTGGAGGATGAGATCTATGATGAAAATGCTGGAAAATCAAACATTTGCTTAAAAGGTAAAGGCATTTGGGTTGTTTATCCTAGAAAAGACCGGATTGGAAGGAAGTGTAGTTAAACTCAACTGTTTTATTTTGCAACAGGGAAGAGTCAGATTGTGTCCAAGGAGGATCTTCCTAACTGTGACAAAGGAGATAAAGGAGGTGGTGACATGCCCATCCCTGGGAAATTTTTAACTCAGCTGGCCAGCAAATGGCTCCAGCATGGCCTGGTCTGGGAGTAGGAGACTGAAAGAAATGACCTCCAGCTGTCCCTCTCATGACCAGGACTTCTGGCTTGTCCTGAGTGTTCTGGCCAGCTGCACAGCACGGATTTACGGGCCAAAGGGAGCCGCTCTCTGATTTGCATTAAGCTTTTCAGGTTCTGTGGCCTCTGCCATCAGCCACAGATTTAATGAGATCCGGGGCTTAATTACCACAGTGCAGGGCTGCCAACACTCTCTCCTGATGACTTTATCTTGGCTGCTGGAAGGATGGGGGTGACAACAGTGTGTTGGCAAGAGAGGAGGGCCTAAAGCAGGGACTCTGGACCCTGGTGATTTGGGGGGATGTGGGCTGCAACAGTGAGTGGCAGGGGCGACTGCAGGACTCAGTACCTGACCTCAAAGAGCTCATAATATGTCAAGAGTTAAGATCTCTAATCCAGGAGATACCCAAGGCAGTGTGAGTCAACTCACATGTGAGAGGCACACACAAATGTCGGCGGAAACTTTGGAGGCATGAACAAAGCTCCTAGAAGAGGGGGGCTGGAGGGTGGGGGGTGCCGCGTGGGGGCATGCAAGTTGGGGAAGACCTTGAATGCCTGGCTAAGCAGTTGGGACTTCATTTCATAGGTAGTAGAGGGCCGCTGAACGTTTTTGAGCTGCCTGAACGATCCAAATTTCTTATAGAAGTTTACAGGACTCCTGAGGATGGGCTCTGCCTGACCCCCACTGCCCCAACCCCCACTGCCCCCAAAATAATCTCCTTCCATCCCTCACACTCAGCCGCAGCCAGCACTGAACTTAATGCCATACTCTGAAACGTTCTTCACAGTCTCTGTACTCCTGGCTACGTTCTTTCCTTATATCGGGTCTCAATGTTAACATTCCTCCCTCTAAGAAGCCTTGCAGACACCGCCCCTTTCCCCCAAGCCTGGCCAGAGGCCCCTTTTCAAGGCTCCCACGCTTGCTGTGTCTCCTCATGAGATCACGGCTCTGTGCTGTCATTATTCACTGGGCTGCATTCTCTGCTAGACTGTGATTCTGTTGAGGCTAGGGGCGGTATCTTGTCCATCAGTGTCGCTAAGAACCAGCAAAAGACAGTAATGTGGGGTGGTTGCGGCCCAGCAGATCACTCGGGTTCCTCCCCTTTCTCGGCCAGGGAGTCTTTTGAGGACAATAGAAAATCACAGGTGTCAACAGGTGCAGGCTGGTAGGGAATGTCCCCTTAATTTGAACGATCAGTCTGTTATTCTTCCAGGAAACAAAGTGTGCAGAAGACACAAAACAAACGCCGACCTCCTCCCACCTCCTTGAGAATAAAGCGAAGCTGGGGCCATTTCTAGGCACGCCTGAGGACTATTTGAGGAGGGTGAGGCGGAGGGTTACGCACGGGACTACAAGTAAAACCCTCCGCTCCAGAGCAGAAATCGCGGCGGCTCCTCTTCAGGCCACCAGGGGGAGGAATCACACCGCATCCCGGGCCTTGGGCGGTTTCGCACGACCACGCGGAGTGGGGAGGTCGCGTAGAACTCTGGGAGTTGTAGTCTTAGGGTTGTAACGCGCAATCTCGCCCACTGCACATCGGGAGTTGTAGTTCTAGGTTGAGGAACGGAAGTGCTTCCAAGTGTCCATGTTGAGCCCTGGAAACTACAACGACCAAAGGGCCACGGGTTCCTGGGCCGTTTCTCATTTCCGTCGAGTTAAACGTCTGGGGCTGCTTCTGAGGAATCAGCTTGACTGGGTAAGTTTGATTGAAGAAAACACCCATATGTTAATTGAGCTCCCTGCAGACTTTCGTATTCTGGCCGGGTTTGGGGCCTCGGCCTCTCTCAATGGTAGGAATTGCATATTAATCTTCGTCCTTTACGTTTCCTATTCAGACACCTGTAGCCACCCACCCTCTTGACCCTGCTACGGTCGCCTTGCACTTTTAACGGCCAGCGCCCCTGGAATCCCCACCGAGCTCCTGTCCCAGGACCCAGCCCCCGCAGCCCCACCTTGGACCCCACAGCCCTACCCTAATTCCTCGGCCCTACCCTGACCCTGCAGCCTCACCTCCCTGAACCGTGGGCTTTTTTT